TTGATGGAACGGATGAATGGTTTGATCCTACTCCAAAGGTCGTTTATAAACGTGTTTTCTCGTCTCGGGCGTACAATCATCATTTTTTCAAGTTGAGGTAGGGCAACTCGAAGTTTGATATTATGGTTAAAAAAAATTTCCATATCCCTTCTGAAAAAGAAAAAAGCTTATAAAGTAAATAATTTTCTCTGCGAATAATCGTTAGTGTTTGACGATCATATTTTTTAAACATTAAAATCATTTTGGAACTACAAACACAGCCAACATAAAATTTACTATAATTTTTTATTATATATCTATTTTAGTCCATTATAAGTAGAGTAAATTATATAATATATTTTTGTTAATCTGTATGCAATCTGATTAATCTATATACAAATTTTTTAATCTTTATCTTTATAACGCATTTTTGTATTATTAATATATGATAAAAATTTATTTCAAATTGTCAACCTTTCGTCCTTGAAATTAAGAAAAATACCGTTTTGAACTTAAGACTTATGAAAATATAATTGTGAAAAAATACAATGTTATTATGTAATAATGATTTGCAAATATAGCTTAAATCTATAATTAATTTTTAGTCACAAAATAATTTATTAGAAGTGGTATGAAATAAATGGACATTCTATATCAATGAAGAATCGCTCGACTAATTTAATGAGTCAATTATAATTAAGCTTGCATAACGTTTTAGTAACAGTTTTGTCAACATGTTGTATGCGCATATTTTATTTATATTATATATATATATATATATGTGTGTGTGTGTGTGTGTGTGTGTGTGTGTGTGTGTGTGTGTGTGTGTGTGCATAATATAGTGAAAGTTCAATTAAATATCAGAATAATAATTATTATTATTATTCAAAGGAGCATCGTAACTCAAATTTGTCTCTTTATTTCTAGGTACAAATGTATATTTGTAACTTTTCATAAACGTCTCATAAGAAGAAAAAAATTATAATCAATCTAATATAATAGCATTAGAAATTTACAGTTAGTATTGTTTCTAGAAAATGTATATTTAATTTAAGATTTCTTAAAACTAATCAGTATAATTCAATTTAACTTCAATAAGAATAATTAAGATTATCACACAAGTATTGTATTTGACAACTGTCATATGCGCAAATATTTTAATGTTTCGTTATTGATTATTAGAAAATTGCCGGTATCGCCAGCTTGAATGCTTGAATAAAATATTTTTCAAAAAAATAATTTATAAAAATCCATTAATTTATTAAATCAATTGAGCAAGCCTTCTTCCCTATTATCGAGCAATATATCCCTAAGCAAACATATTGATATAAATACAAAACAAAAACTTTTTTAAATATCGAAATTACAAAATCATCGAAAAAGAAAATAAATTCAATCGGAACATATACAGTCCGGAAACACTTAACAAGACTACATATATTGTGGAGGTTGAAAAATATTCGATAAAATCAGGATCGTTTCGTAAGCGATTCTTGTTCCAGCAAAAACAAAATTGAAGTCGCGAGAAATCCAGGCAATATTATTCTCCGTTCGCAGCCGCAGATCGGCTCGTCCATCATCAGCAGTACCAACGGCAGTAACGATCCTCTCGTGTAATAATCATCAGCGCTCATCTCCAAGGTTCCGGTCTCATGCACCCCCCCCCCTCCTCCATAGTATGACACTCTCGCTTACTCGCACATATAACCTCCTTCTCGCTTTCTATCTCTCTCCCTTCTGACGAGAGCAGTGAATGTAGGAGATGAAGAAAAAGAAGAACAAAAGAGAAAGCAAAAGACGGCGAAAAGAAGAGGAGTAAAGAGGATATTTCATGTCTTTCAGAAGCACTCGTACCATTGCACAGGTGACGAGCCGCGAGGCAAGATGAGCCCCGACAAAAGACCGCGAAGGTCGACTTGGATGAACGCCTTCGGCGCGTCTGCGACGACACCGGCTCTCTAGTAACTTTATTTGCCCTTTCTCAGTAATTACCAACATTGTGAAAATAATTTTGAAAATGTGAAGAATGAAATTTCTTGTACTAGAGTGCAGACGTTTTGATCGAGGATTTAAAATCTTTTATTTTTCAAGCATATTACCGGTGCTAATTGGTTTTGACAGCTGTTTTCTTTTCCTTAATTATATATGTACCTAATAACTAATTCACTATGAAATATTCATAATAATATAAGAATGATTCACTTTACTTAGAAGATATATTTTAAATAATACGTTTAAAAAAAACTTTTGAGTATACAATAACATTCTGAGATTATCAGTAGAGTATAATTATGTGCATTTAATCTATTTATTTTTTATTTTTTAAGGTAATAGTCTCTTATATATATATGCATATATATGTGTATTAGTTTATGTGTATGGCCATCAAGATAAATTAATGTATTATTTCGCGAAAAATGTAATATTAAAATACAGTGGATATGGATAGTGTTTAAAGTTTGATTTTGATTGCGTTAGAAAATTTCGCGTCAAAACGATATTACTATAATATTGATGTAGATACGAAATAATGGAATGCAAAATATTATATTTAATATTTAATAGAGCAGAACCAAAACAATTGATGAACGAATACATTTATTTAAATCAATAATTTAAGAATGGCCGAAACAGAACCATAAAGTATTATTGTTCTTTATTAATTGAGTTTTTTCATTAAATCGCCAAATTATAATCTACATTTATAAATATAATACATGCCTTCGTAAAAGAAAGTGAAGAAAATGATATCTACAAAAATGTATAATTTAGAGAATGACATGAAAGTCTCTACGAAGAATCGAGTGATCAAGAATTCTCGAACATTCGTTCGTCAATATGATATTCGGAAATACTTTCGAATGGCTATTGTGTTTTCTCGAAGAAATCCTGGTACTTATTTGAGCCAGTGAATCTCGAGTTCTCTGCTTCTCTAAGCTACTTGTATCCTTGGTTCGTTACATTTGGATAGCCGAAGGAGCGCGACTAACATCATCAGCATTATCGCGATCATCGCGAAAGTCCGAGAGAAAATTCGATCGTTCGATTGTGTATCAGGTAATAGCTCGTGGGGCTCTGGTATCAGTATCCTCGGGCGCTTCCTTTAATTCCAATATACAATCAGGTCCCTTGAGTTTTACACGAGGCTTTATTATGCGAATGAACTTCCCGTAACATCCATTCTTATTGTTGCGAACCGTTGTTATGCATATTTGGACCTTTGGCAGCGATAACGAGTTTAACCTACTTTAAATCTATTGTTGTTTTTGTTGTTAACTCGATGAGCCTTATTAGTTTGACTGTTGCATATGATTTTCTAGAAGCTCTCAGAGTGAGCTCTTATTAATTTGATTGATTTTTGTACCCTAATTAGCTAAAAATAAATGTATATTATATTTTGTAACTACTATATGCGGAATATTATGTGAAATATTCCATTAAGAAATAGTCTATTCCAGATATTAATGGATTCTGTAGAGTATTAATATGGGATAGATGGAAAAAATTTTATTGTAAATCAATGAAGTTTTACTAATAGAAATACATAACTTTTACAATTTAATTCAGAAGGTCTTAAAAGCTGTTAAAACTGATTGATTTGATATTAAAGCTCAAATTTTAACTTAATTTTTTGTTACATATCCATAATAATTAAAGTTGTGCAAAAAGAAAATTTCTTAATTCCAGTATAACACATATTACATTTTTTATAAATTACTACAGTAATGGCTCTTAATTAGTGGAAATAAGAGAACGGATTGAGTAAGATTCAATTTCTAGAACCTTTCCATTTTTTTTTCACATGCAGCAAGAGCCTAATAATCCAGTCATATATTATGCACTAGTTAAAAATGGTAATAAATAATAATTTATTTTTAAAAACGAATGATGAAATTATAAAAAGCTTTATTTTATAACAAAGTACATCAAATCTTTTAATACGAGTCTCATTGTGAGTTAAATTTTCAGGAAAACTATAAGTTTTTAAGTTTCAATGCCTTTCATATAATTTAGTAATAAAATCAAATTTAGAATGCTGTAAGTCAAGAACGTTTACCGGCAACTAATTAATGATAAATATAATTACATATGAAATTTATTTCTAGTTCAATCCCATTAAAAATATTATTTATATTGAGCTTGAAAATATTTTAGCAGTTAAATAGAACACTTGATAAAGACGCACCAACATGAATTAAAATTATTATAAATAACTTTCATTGCGACAATAATAGAATGCAAAATAATATATGCATACACAACTTGTAATATGTCATCTCGAATTTGCGATATTAATGATTGTTTAAATTCGATTGTATAGTAAATTTTTAAATACTTCAGAAACTTTTATTTATATAAAATTCGAATGCGAAAGAAGTCCCTTTTTCATTGTACTTCGAAATTTTCTTTTAATTTACAAATTTTTCTTTTACGTTATTAGTTGTAAAAATGAAATAAAATTGTAAAAACACAGGCGATTCTCAGTCTGCCTATAAACACTTTCAATAAACCGTCAATTTCCTTAGCCCCGGGACTCGTAAGTTATTGTTTTCAATTCTCGACAAAACCACGTAGGCGCTCAATTATGGTCAAAGTCTAGTAGGATAGAAAGTCAACACTGCGAGAGGCAAATTCTTCATTCGGCTCTTTATTCATAATTGTCCCACGACATTATTAATACGACCGATGCAATAATCACCAGCGCATTTTCTTGAGCCCAAGAAAAGTGGGGGCACCTTGACGGAAGTAACGTCAGAACCACCATCGCCCCACTCCATCGTCCTCGCGGACCTCGAGGGTGCGCCATCCGAAAACATCGTAGACAGAATTCCTGGCTACATAATGATCAGGTTGGACAATGGTCATGCAGGGAAACTACCATGTGTGCATCTCACCGCGACGACCTCAGCCGGTGCGCACGCACACACGAGGGGAATCCCCTCCTCCTAGGTCTCGACTACCGGAGAGAAAGCCATCGGCGCGTCCGTCGTGTGCGTACCACCTCAGTCTAACCGTGGGTCTCGAGCAGCCCGGACGCTTGGCTCGCCGTTGAAGTTCTATATATCGATCGCTTCGAGTGTGTGACAGAGCGAGAGGGAGAGTAATCAAACGATAGATAAAACGGGTTGTTGCGATGGTCGAATTGTGGTGAGCAGCGGAGAGAAAGGATACGGCCTGCATGGGACCACCCCATGGATAGCAACATGTCCACCGCGGCCTACGTGCACCGGTACGTTCCTTTGGCTTCTGCAAATTCACGCTCGTACACACCTACATATCAATGCACATGCAGGCACGTAGGCAGGCTGGCACGCACGCACGCACGCACGCACGCACGCACGCACGCACGCATGCACCCACGCACGCATGCTGAAGCGCGGAAGGAGAGACATGTTTGATCGATACGTCCTGGGGTGTATCGCTACCGAAACCCTCGAACTCCGGGAGGGGGCGCGAATACCGAGGCGTTTGCGTATGCCTCCCCTCACCTCGCAGCCATTTTCCCGGGGACGCCTGAATTTCCGGATATTCCTTTATTTCCTTTATTACTCCGTATTCTTGTCATTCTAATTATTACCTCTTTTACATGCGGATCATTGTTCTAACCTGTCGCTTTCACTTTTGCAGTGGAGCTGCAATTGCGATGACCTATACGAGACGAGTCCTGTCGTCAGTTAATTGCTAATTGAAATTGGCACGTTTCAATTTTTGGATTGTTCTAACTTTTCCAATACTTTCGACGGCAAGTCAATTTGTCCGATTAAAGATTAAAGATATTGTCAATAGGATAAAACTGTTAATTAAGCTACCTTTACTTCGGCGTTTCTCAATTTTTCATTTGTATTGCTCGTAGACCTCAAAAATAATTTATTAATCTATTATCGTAATTGATAAATGTATAATTGTAAAGTAATGAATACCTTTAAAGAGCAGCTTTTAAGGGTTTCGTGTAGTGATCTTTGAATAAATAGATATCGTATTAGTGAATCGGAACAAAGTAGTCGAAATATCGGAAAAAATGAACTGAAATAGGTGGGCTAAACGTGATTTGCTTGATTATTTTAACCTCAAACAATTCACAATGCCCGAGATAAAAACGCAAAGTTAGCTTGAAACCCACAACTAGTCTCTCCTGACGTTAGTTTTTGAAATTAAAGTTCGCGGTTGAAATCGACCACTATTAAAGAAAGTTTCATCGCCCTGTGGTAATTGGGACTGGAAAGCGTTCGGACTGATAAATTTGACGCGTTCATTCTAAATAAATGGTTCTATATTATATGTTAACCTTCGTATCTGAAAGCCAGTTACACCATTAATGATAAATTGTCGGTGCATTAGTTCTGATTATAAAGCTTTATATTATACATGCGGAATGAGATTAAATAATTGTCTAAAAACGAGAGGGAGCGAAAGATAGATAGAGAGAGGGAGTGAGAGAGAGAGAGAGAGAGAGAGAGAGAGAAAAGCATGCGAAAGGTGGAAGTGCCTACGATATCAAAGACAAGGGTTGACACCAATATGTGCATGCGTGCAGGGTCAGTGTGATTACGGATCAGAGCGAGCTCCCACCGGCTTCTTGCTCACTCACGCAAATCGATACGTACACCCGAACTTCCTACAACCGGCGGCCGGGCTTCCTACAGAACTTCGACTCCCCCTTGCGATGAAGTCTTGCGCCACGAGGATTATTGTACAGTTTCGAATTTAGATGAGAAAAGATTCGTGACTATTGCTAGTCTTCGGCTTCCAATTTAATCTGAAACTACGGCTTGCATGAGCCAGTCAGAAGGGGAGGGTGCGGAAAAGGGATACGCGTCTTGGAAATATGCCCAATTTTACTTACAGAATTAAATAAACTTTATCTCTCACTAACTCCAAGACACTGATTATTCATTGCTCCGAATGAAGAATTTTTTTTAGATAAAATGTAGCTTTTACACTCCTATTCTATGCAATTGTTTATTAATGTAGCAATATCATAATCATATTTGACATTCTGCCCTTTATTTTGTGAGTGATTTATTAGTTATTTTTTACAATTAATATGCCGCGTTTGGCGTTTATCGGTAACTTCAACTTAGTACCAAATTTTTTTTTTCGATTACATAAGAGTAGGACACTTTCAAAATTATAAACGCTTTAACTTTAGCTTCATAAATGATAACTAATTTTGTCAATTTTTCAAAAGGGGAAAAAACCATTTAATAATATAATAAGACATTCAATCTTTAATTTCTTATATAATTCTTTACAACTCGATACGCATTTTTACAAGTTTGCGCTTAGAGGCTCGCACAGCCTAGCCAGACTAGAAAGGAATATTTTTCGCCCTCTCGTTGAGTCGAAGATATTGAATTATTTGTAGGAAATTACTGGAGAAGTTTATAGTACGTATAACATTGTCAGTAATGCAAAATAAACAACACAAATGTTTTTTGTTATTATCAAAAACTTTATTAAAATTCATTTTGTATTTTTATATAATATTTAGTTACTACAACTGATTGCCCTAGTTTTATAGTATTTTTCCTATACAAATGTAGACATTGTTTAATAGTTTGAAGCAATATGAGAGCTTGAAATATTAAATATTAAGACTATGTTATTTCACATTTAGACTAGATTTATGTAATTTTATTTGTGTGTTTTTATTTACGTTGTGATAATTGTAACATAATTTGCAAACATGACATTATAATAAATATTGAATTTGATAAGATATACTAATATTGTTACATGTATTTCACAAATCAAAAACTCATTTTTAAATTATTTTAAAACTTTTTTCAATTACCTACACCATGAAAGAAAAAGCAAACATTTACTCGCAATAATTAGCAAACGTTGATATGTTCTTCTAAAGTCATTATCTTGGTTATAAGTTGATTAGAATCAACTACTACTTATATCTTGGATTTTTATAAGATTTAAGTCAAAGTTATGAATGACTGTAGATTGAATGAAAAGTAAATAGATATAAGCAGATTAATTGCTAAAGATTGTTATTCAATCAACCGTTATATTTAAATAGAAATATTATTTTGTGTAGTAACATTAATTTTTATAAAATATCTAAGTAAGACACAACACATTTATGGAAGAATAAAATAACTAATTCTTTTAATTATAATACTTGTATAATCGCCACTTTGTGCAATAATAATTTAATTGCTCAAAGAATGTCAGGATTGCATTTAATTCGATATGTAATTGTATTTTACCGTCGGCATTATTTTTAATCTCATTAAAATGTATCGCTTGTGTACCTTTCATAAATAGGCACATAAATAAAGCATAAAAGATTTTTTTTCTCAACTATGAGGCGAATCATCATTAATGCCGAATAATTTCTCAAGCGCATGCTCAAAGCTAATAATTAACGCAATCTCCATATATTAACAACAGTAATAATAACAACACTATAGCAGCTACACAAATAAGCTACCTTTTTCATGATCCTACTTGTCTCTTCTTTCTTCATATATTTAACGCAAAGCGTGTAAAATACGATTTCATAACAGAAAAGTATTGAATTGGAGGAAAGAAATAGGATTTGTCAATCGTGTTGAGGACGCTACGGGAAAATAAACAAATCGGCACGTAGGTGTAACGGTCTTACGCCGCTGGACTCATTCTACTCGACGTCAACAAATATTCTTGTAACACTAAAAAACCAAGATTTTTCACCGCCGGCGCAAGAGCACGCATTTTACCTACGTACATTCTTCTTCTTCTGATTTTTCTTCTTCTTCTTCTTTTTCTTTTTCTTCTTTTTCTTTTTCTATTTTTTATAAACAATTATACGAGTATGTTACGCGTAGGCCGGTATTCCATGTTTTTCTTCCCCTTCCCTATTTCTCCCGCCGCGATGTTAAAACTAAAAACTGAAAATTCCAGGCGTGCCCCCCTTTTCCTTGCTCTTGACTTTTTGTTCGAAAAATAAAGGGAAACGCAGAATCCTCGCGCGCACAGGGCAATGAAACGACGACGAAGTAAGGAGGCTAGAAGTAGTCAACCCGGTTTTTCCTTGAACCTGGCGTGCCGGCAGCCATTGACCGCTGCCTTCATCGTCATATCTCTCTCTCTCAGTCACTTACCTCTCTCTCTCCCTTTATCCTGCACTTCTATCTTCCGAGGTTTCTGCTGCCTCAGCTCTTCCCCTCCTTACGTGCGAGGAGGATCGAAGGCTGCCGCTTCCTCTCCGTTTTACTTTCGACGGAGGCGCGATGATGTCCTTTCGAGCTCCTGCTGAGGCTCTTGAATGGAACGAGCGCCCGAGGCAGCAGTTTCGCGAGAAACTACTTTTTTGGCGGCGCAAAGTCGCTTTTATCTCCGCATAGACGGGATGTGAGGTTCTGCTCCGCAAAATTCAATCTTCCGCTCGAAATATCGAGGTCGCCTACATGATCACCCAGAACTTTCCTCAGATGCTTGAAAATGATGGGAGATTGACGAATGGGTGCAAAAATTTATATTGTTTACTCAGATGGCTTTCTTAAGTGACTTTTAATGTATAATTAATTTTTGGATAATATATCATTCACGGGCATAATTCAGATTGAATTATTTTTAGATTGATTTTTTTAATATCTTTAATGCTTCTCGTTATATGATGCTAAAATATTATTGAAGTTATATTAGGTAAAAATTTATATAATTATAGGCAAAAATATTTTTTAAGAATTAAGAATCCTATATGTTTAATTAAAATGTATAGTTATATATATTTCAATTGTTATTAACTACTTTCATTCAACGGTTTCATTTACAGCTACGATGACGTCAAGTAAATATCACTAACTTATAATATGAGCTAAATAGTAGACGAATATTTCATTAAAGACATTTGATTTTAGTGACGTCATTCACTACAGTATCCATCAAAAGTCTACGAACAAATATATTAAAAATTTTTAGCCATGAATTATAAACTATTAGATGTTGATATTTCCCTAATTTTTTTAGCATAATCGTTGAGGTGAAAGAACGGTTATACTTATTAATGTATAGCGCTTGGCATTTCTGACCGACTCAGTTTTAATTAGTTTTATAATTGAAAAAAATACCAATATTAACGGCATATAAAATAATGCTTTCAAAAATATATGCAATATCGACTTCCACGTACATATAGCTAGACTGATAATATTATACATCAATAAACAATGAAATAAATGTATTTATTTCAAAATCAGGTATGGCTGCCCTTGTGTAACTATTAAATCATTT